CCTGACCCTGGGGCCATAAAATTCACAAATCTGGAAGAGGCACTCTTGCTTATCATAACTATGTGCTTAGTTAGTTTATTTAATACCCACGAGCAGAGAAGAAGATTTTCAAAGAAATAATTCCAGCAGGCACACAACGTTGTTTAAACGTTGAATATTCGTTGAAGTTGGGTTTAGACGTTGATAAATCTAGATACAATATTGATTCAACGTTGACTTTTCAACGTTGAAAATCTAACGTTGAATCAACATTGAATTCAAATTGAGTTGAACTGCCAACATTGGTTCAACGTCGGATCTTCGCTGAGCGGGCCAATCCGTCCTAATTTTCGCTGATAGATAATTTGGACTAGACTATGATAGTGTCGGACTATGACACTGTCGGACCATAACGAGGTCGGACTTGACAAAGTCGCACTACCGTATATCATCACTATTTATTATAACTAACAAGGATGGTAAATATAGAAATTTTACACATTCAATGATAAATATGAATTCAGTACGAATTTGCCAAAATAAGAATTAACAAGATACGCAGTAGGACATCCGGAAAATATTCAAAAAGACAGCATAACACAACCCTCAGGACTCAACACCAAGATTTAATTTAAAAAAAAAACTCTTTAAAGAAAACATTTCGGCATGTCAGAGTACTAGTGTCATTGAAGAGACATAATTTGTCGAAATGCATATCTGGTGCATCAAAAGTTGTACCGTATAAGATTTGCATCTTCTTTGGAATGGTTTCATGTTCTGAACTATTTCATGACCACATACAAATACAAAACGTTTGTAAATTTTCGGGTTTTGTAACATGTTTAATTTATAAAATGTATTTTGGCGAAAATTAGTGTAGCACAATTAACTATTGATAGGAAATTAAAGACTTACTGTTTACAATATATAATTTTTTTCATGTAGTGATATACTCTATGTTTAAGGGGTCCCGACCCTCTGCTATAAATTTCACCTTAGAAAGTTTTAAATTTGTAATATTGATTTTCATAAATAACAATAACATTCGAGCCACATGGAAAATAGTTTGAAGGATAAAGCGCTGCCTATTTTTTCAGAAATGATTTTTATGTGCAGATCATGAAATGAAGAAATTGAACACAGAGAATAGAAAGAGTAACGATTTACTACCGCAACAATAAATATAATATATGAGGTGCATATGAAAAAGTACTTGTATACTATTACATCTATTTAAATCATGTTAGAAAACATCATGGAGCGATGTTTCCTAAGTCAGAAAATCACAGCGTTGTATGTGGTTGTAAGAAAAAAAATATATCTATGATGAGGAGTTATCTTTCTTCTAAATATTTCTTTCTTTTGAAAAAAAAATCATTCATTTAAAATACTGTATTGAGTACTTGAAATATTAAACAATTATTAAAATGGTACTTAAAAAAGATACAACTTATTAAAATTTAATTTATAAGGCATTTGGTGTTGGATTTAAATTGTTAAATATAATTAAACAATTACAAAGAAATTTGCAAAAGAAACAGAAAGTAATGTTTCCATCATATGTTTGATCTAATCAAATTGACTACTCAGAGGTCTCAGGAAACTGATTAAGAAAACTGAGAGTAGTATTACTATTTTGTACTTTGAGAGTTATCTGTCTTATCAGAGGGTCGCTATCCCATTAACACTTATGAAAACCTCTTAGCAACCGTGCAATAAAACGGTTGAAATTTTAAGTAAGTATATTACTACTATATGACACCCCCCATTCCAAAATAAATAATTGAATAAATGTTGAATCAACTGTTTTTCAACATATAATCAACGTTGATTATTAATGTTGATTCAATGTTAAGACTTCAACGTTGATAGAAATTTTCAAAATCTAACATAAAATCAATGTTTAATCAACATAGAAAAACAACGTTGATTCAAAGTTTATTCAATGTTGTGTGCCTGCTGGGAATGCATTTTCACTATATAATCTATAGAGCCCCGCCTTAGCACTAGAACCCCTGACCCTGGGGCCTTGAATTTCACAATTTTGGTAGAGGACTCAATGCTCATTACATTCATGCCAACAACTTGCTTGATGTTCAGGAGTAAAGAAGTTTTTTAAAGATTGCAATAAATTTAGTGGTTTTGGCCCCACCCCTCAGGCCCCAGGGGGGCGGGGACCATGGAATTCACAATTTTGTTACCCTGCATCCATCAATGCTGTATACCAAATTTGGTTGAAATTGGTTCAGTGGTTTCAGAGAAGAAAATGTTAAATTGTTAACACACGACGCACGACGACGGACGAAAAGGGATAGCAATAGGTCACCTGAGTTTCTCAGGTGACCTAAAAATGGTGTGTTCCCCGAATGGCTACTCGGAAAAAACAACAAGTAATTATCACACTCAATTAAGGGGCCCTCTAAGGGGTACAGTAGACATACAGTACCGACCGGACACAACCTAACAGAAAGCGTTACGGCTGACCCCGAGCGAACCCGGAGCGCACCCAAAGCGAACCCGTAGCGGACCCCGAGAGCGAACCCCAAATTCAGTAGCGGTCCCGGGACGGTTTTAATTGGGAACGCTTTGACTGGCTCCCATCAGGAAATGCATAAAAATGGAAATCAATTGATATTACAATTTTTACTGACAAGAAGCGGAGAAAAGAAATATAGTTGGTCTTTGACAATTATTGTAAAATTTCATCATCTCAAGTTGAATTGGAAATTTATATAAACACTATTAAATAAAGAAAGAAATCCGAACCGATATAGAGTACGTCTGGTTTATCGGGGTTTTAAATTCCCTGTCATGGTTATGTTAATATATACTATGTATATTTAATCACTATGTGTTTACTATAAATATTATAGATTATTGAAATGAATATGAGATAATCTCATTTAATTGTTTGGATAGCATTAAACATAAGACACAACTTGGTACAAGTTATCTTGTTCATGGGAAAGTCAGCACCAGGATGAGTTATCTATTATAGCAACTTCCTCTTCCTCTTTATCATCTCAGCCATTTGGTCATTAGTAAAAGTTACAACAGAAATCCTGTCCAATCCTAACCATCATGCCACCTAAAAGGAAGAGGGATATCAGAGGGGAGATGGTGTCGCCATCCAGGGGCAGAGGACACAAAAAGCCTCGCCATGCTCCCAGGCAGCAAAGGTCTGGAGCCAGGAATGATCATCCCCCCCCACCATGCCGAACCAGAGACTAGTACTGCAGGGAGTGATGCTTCACCTGACAGTGACTTGGGGGAATTCACACCACCAATCATGGGTAATGTTGATTCAGATTTCTCCCTTGATGTAAATCTTTCTGAATTCACTCCTGTCCCAGAACTTAGCTGTTTCGATAATGTAGGTCAACACATTCCTTTGAAGTTAAAACAAAAAATTTGGGATGGACAATTTATTGAGTTGAGTCTGCTGTTAAAATCAGCCAAAAAGATTAATGATAGTTTGGGAGGACAAGGGGAAATTAAAATTAGAGATGGGAAATTTTGTATTGTCCGGTCAAAAGTTGGTTCATATTTGACAATCGAAAAATGGACAAATGCTTTTATGATCTATATGAGTGTTATGTTAGAGAAATATCGCACTAGGGCCCAAGAGTTTTTAAAATACATGAGAGATATCAGACAAGCTGCCTCTAGATCACAGGGCTGGTTCAAATACGATGAACAATATCGGCTACGCAAAGCTAGCAATCCCGAATCCTCCTGGGGGGGTTATAAGTCAAGAATTTTGGCTACTGTATGTGACCAACCAAAGTTCAAATTCTTTTGGCAGTCAGAATCACTTCAACAATACTAAACAAAATTTAGATGAGAGCAGCACATCCGCTGCTACACAGTATTGCTATCATTTCAATCAGGGTAAAAAGTGCAATTTCTTCCCCAGATGCAGATTCAAGCACGTCTGTAGGAGGTGCGGAGGAAAGCATCCGGCCACAACCTGTTCCAACAAGGCAGCTGTATAAACTGGGCAGGACCCCAATTAAACTAGATAAAAAATTTTTACATACACAAAATTATTCCGATCATAAATTTTTAAGGGAAGGTTTTGAACACGGTTTCAAATTACAGTATTTTGGCCCTAGATCACCCAGATTTTCTAAGAATCTTACAAGTTTAGACAAACAATATCCAGTTGCAGAGCAAAAGATTTACAAAGAAGTCTCATTGAGGGGGTTGCGGGTCCTTTCAAAGAACCACCTTTTCCAACATTACAAGTTTCTCCTTTAGGTCTTGTACCTAAAAAAGACGGTGATTACCGCCTCATTCACCATTTATCATATCCAGAATCTGCTTCAATAAATGATTTCATTGACTCAGAACAGAGCTCAGTTACCTATTCAACCATAGATGATGCTGCCGCCATTATTGCAAAATTAGGTCGGGGGGCATTTCTGGCAAAGTCAGACATTAAATCAGCCTTTAGGTTGCTACCAGTGAACAGCACTGATTTCGACTTGTTAGGTTTTCACTTCAACGATGGTTTTTATTACGACAAGATGCTACCTTTCGGTTGCAAAATAAGTTGTGCAATTTGGGACAGATTTGCTTGCTTTCTGCATTGGCTTATACAGGATTGCTCAAAAAATGCCTCAATCCTGCATTATCTAGATGACTTCCTTTTCTGTGGCAAAGAGCTTCCCATTTGTAAAAATACGTTGGACACTTTTCTTTATCTGTGCAACGATCTGGGGGTCCCTATTGCAAAAGACAAAACAGTATATCCAACGCAGGTTCTTACGTTCTTGGGCATTGATTTCGATACGACGGAAATGATCATGAAGTTACCGTTGGTAAAAATTGATGAAATCAAACAAAAGATTCTCGACATTATGGCACTTAAGAAGGTTACTCTTAAACAACTTCAGTCTTTGGGCTTGTTAAATTTTGCATGTACAGTTATAGCTCCAGGTAGGGCTTTCTGTCGACGTTTGATTGATTCAACAATTGGCCTAAATAAACCTCATCACCATACCCGCGTAACGTTAGAAATGAAAGCAGACCTCAAAGTCTGGCTCGACTTCCTCCAATCATTTAATGGCATTTCAGTCATTACAGAAGGTGTATGGGTGAATAATGAGACTCTACAACTCTACACTGATAGCGCAGGGGGAGAGAAGGGGGGCTTTGGTATATATATTTGCAGGCAAGTGGACATATGCTCAATGGCCATTTCCTGGTTCGTACAAGGCATAACCCGTGACATGACCTTTTTAGAGCTTTTCCCGGTCCATATAGCTATTGAATTGTGGAAACATCATTTTTCCAACAATAAAATTTTGTTTTACATTGACAATATGGCTGTGGTACATGTCATAAACTCAACAACATCAAAGTCACAAAGGGTCATGAAAATTGTAAGAAAACTAGTTCTCACTTGTCTCAAACACAATATTTTGATTAAAGCAAAACACATACCGTCAAAATCAAATTTTATTGCGGATTCTATCTCTCGTTCACAGTGGGGCAAATTCCGACGGCTAGCACCGGCAGCGGATCCATGGCCAACACCGCTTCCCAAGAATTTGTGGGAAATTTAACAAGGGAGGCAAACAGACTTATACAGGGTTCACTATCAGCAAACACATACAAAGCTTACCAGGGGGCTCTTACCAACTTCAAAAAAATCCTGAATAATAGTGGGACCACATTGTATTTCCCCATTCCTGTTGATCATTTGCTTAATTTCATTGCCCACCTTTCTATTTCAGGTACAGCTTATAGAACAGCTGCACTGTACATTAGCGCATTATCATATATCCATAAATTAAGAGGCATACAAGATAACACTCAATCATTCATTGTCAAAAAAGCCTTGCAGGGTCTCCACAAAAAGAGAGGTATCGCTGTTGATTCTCGAATCCCATTAACTGTATCTATCTTGGAGCATGTAGTATCAGCATTGCCGTCAGTGTGTAGATCATCTTACGAGGCAGTTTTATTTTCCACACTTTTTTCAATTGCATATCACGGCTTGCTTAGAGTAAGTGAAGTTTTGAATATCCATAGGGCACACATCACGTTTACTAGAAGCAAGGTCAGCATCTTAATTCCCAGGTCCAAAACTGACCAAATGGGAAATACAACAACATTGCATATTTCCAAACAGTCAAATTTGGTTATTTGCCCAGTACAGTGGGCACTCAAGTTTTTGCAGCTGCGCCCTAATGATGGTTCCCTTTTATGCTTTATTCATGTCGACAATAAGGTTGTAACAAGATACCAATTCAACTATGTGCTTCAAAAAGCTCTTCAATTCAGGAACATTCAAGGACACTTTAGACCACATAGTTTTAGAATAGGCAGGGCTACAGATCTTGAAAACAGGGGTTTCCAGATTCAGAAATAAAATCTTTGGGCCGGTGGGAGTCAAAAGCTTTCAGAAACTGCATAAGATTATAGCATGTTAGCATTGTTAAATGGAATACAGGCTAATTTTGCCAAAGTATTCCAGGTTTCAAGACGATTTGGATAGTGGGATCTTCAATACCTTATTGGGCTGGTGAGGAGGCAGGGAGGAGACCGGGTGGAAAGAATCTTAATCTTGGGATGGACATCACTTGGAAGGGAATTAGAGGGCTGAAATGGGAAGATCTTGACAAAGTGTTAACAGATGAACTCAAACCCCAACCACATCCAGATGTACTTGTAATTCACGCGGGGTCAAATGATCTAACTACGGCTGGCAATACTGCACTTAGATTTTCACATGAAATTCAATGTAGTTTGTATCGTTATAATGTATTGCTTCCTAAGACTTTGCTTATTTGGTCAACAATGCTTCCCCGCCTTTATTGGCATGGTGCACCTCTTGGCAAGGGTGGGGCTAAGATTGATCTAAAACGGCGTAAGGTGAATAAAGCCATTAGAAAATTCATTACATCCGAAGTTAATGGGGCTTGCATTTTTCATGACAAAAATATCAACGTTCATCAAAGCACTTTATTTAGATATGATGGAACTCATTTATCGGAAGGGGGGAATAAGGCTTATTTAAATAATATTCAGGGTGGTTTGGAATTCATGTTAGGGGGAAAGGGCAAAATTTTCCCTCCTCAGTAATGCCCTTTGTTTATTTAGTCAGATTTCAGTTGTGATGACCTGTAATTTCCTAGTTTAGAATTGGTATATATATATATATATATATATATATATATATATATATATATATATATATATATATATATATATATATATATATATATATATATATATAAATATTAATTTTGGTGCAAATTGTGTGGGGAACATCATATCGATGTTAGTGGCAGGGGTCAAGGGAGACATCAGCCTTGTACACGCTTAACCTGTTTGTCTCTGCCCATCTGCATCAAAGCATGAGGGGGGTATCATGGCTGTGTTTTAACATGGAAGTTAAATGCCATTGTGGAAATGTGTAGAATAAATGTAAATTGCTTGGGATCTGCAGCATTTCAGTGCTCAGACCCCCTCTACCTATATAAAAGTAGTAGAGGCTACAGGCCGGTTGGTGTTAAAATTCTAAACCAGGTAGCAAGCCAGAAGCAGGGTGTAAAAGCTGTGCAGCTTGTGTGCCTAGCCATCATGCGTGTGTCAGGCATGGGGTTCCATGGCACTCGCATCTAAGCGAGGCCACTAGTTTGCCCGTTTGTTTATGGTATCCTAGTTGTCTCCCTTGACTCCTACAAAATTTGCGGCCATTTTCATCCAACATTGTGTGTGTTGTATTAAACTAATCTTGTTTTTAAATAAATTAGTAAAGTTACAATTGGTGTTTTCAATTCTCAGAGCTGTCTGGAAGACAGTCTCGGTATAATGGTATTGAATAGGCAGAGAAAGCAAAAATATCATGGGCTGCAATATTAAATTAATATAGATTATTGAAATGAATATGAGATAATCTCATTTAATTGTTTGGATAGCATTAAACATAAGACACAACTTGGTACAAGTTATCTAGTTCATGGGAAAGTCAGCATCAGGATGAGTTATCTATTATAGCAACTTCCTCTTCCTCTTTATCATCTCAGCCATTTGGTCATTAGTAAAAGTTACCCACCCACCACTCCCAAATTAAAAAAAAATGTAAATAAATATGTATATGTATATTATCATTTAACTGTTTTTTCTTTGATCACTTAATCTGTGCCAAGTATTTTATATTTTTAGGTAGATTTCATGCTGTGGACTCAATCAAGCTAAGCTTGTTCTTTCAATACTTAGGACTTCTCAAGTGATTATTGTGGCAGATTCACAACCAATGCCTATTAATTCAGGAAGAAGCTGGGATTTTTCGTTAAAAAAAAAAATTGGACTTTACATTAAGCATATCAATATAGTTCTTTCTTCTCTTAATTTAAAAAGAATAATAAATTCCATGTCGCATTCATTAAGGGGGAGGAGTCAGGGAAACATTAAGGTAAACAAGGGTACATGCTTAACCTGTTTGTCTCTGCCCATCTGCATCAAAGCATGAGGGGGTATCATGGCTGTGTTTTAACATGGAAGTTAAATGTCATTGAGGAAATGTGTAGAATAAATGTAAATTCTAAACCAGGTAGCAAGCCAGAGGCAGGGTGTAAAAGCTGTGCAGCTTGTGTGCCTAGCCATCATGCGTGTGTCAGGCATTGGGTTCCATGGCACTCGCATCTAAGCGAGGCCACTAGTTTGCCCGTTTGTTTATGGTATCCTAGTTGTCTCCCTTGACTCCTACAAAATTTGCGGCCATTTTCATCCAACATTGTGTGTGTTGTATTAAACTGATCTTGTTTTTCAATAAATTAGTAAAGTTACAATTGGTGTTTTCAATTCTCAGAGCTGTCTGGAAGACAGTCTCAGTATAATGGTATTGAAAAGGCAGAGAAAGCAAAAATATCATGGGCTGCAATATTCAATTAAACGATAATTTCAGTATTTTCTAACAAACCACAGCACAACATCAAATTACAATTTGCTGATTGGGAGGTAACAGATCTATTTATTCATTGACTTTGTTGTTTATTACAATGCAACATATTAATATACATATTAATGCACATTAATATATTTATTAGCCATTTTAAAGAAAAAATGCGCATATTTTAGTGTTTAATTAAAAAAAAAATATTTTTTTTCAAATCCATTCAATAATGTCAACAATGGTTTCCTAATTAAAGGAACTTTTCATTAACATTAACTCCCAATTGTGGCTTCTCTTAATTAACTCCTCATAGTCACCACGGTTTGTTCCCGTTTTGCACACATTTTAATTACAAGTAATTAAAAAATGTGTGAAAACGGGAATTTGACCAGGTGAGATAATTACTTAATTCCTATAGTCTATACCATGATTAGTTAGTATGTGGAAGGTAAACTTATAGTGAAAAAGAAAGAGAATAAATACAAAGTTCATGAATTATAATGATATTTTTAAATGTGATAACTCTGAATTTTTTCCTCTCTTTTATAGTTCAAAATGTTGATACAACTGCAAATATATTCACTTTGATGGTAAAACATAGATTAATATAATAATCAACAATTTACTTACATGGAAAGACACAAAATGTCTGTACTATTTGATACATCTTGAATTCATTTAGAATTTTATCAAGACTTCACAGCTATCAAGACTGAAAATTATTATTTTTTTTTTTTAAAGAAAATGTACTTAATTAATAAATAAAATTAAATAAATATTAATATTGTATTCAATAAAATCAAACATTTTCCCATAAATATATATAGAATTTTAATAAAATGTTTGTAAAATTGTATTAAACCCCTCAAGAATCATTAAGCTAAATCAGGTATTCACAGGTAAATCCAGGTAAATCAAAACAAGAAATCAGACTATAATTGCTATAAAAACACACTTCACCCCTATTGTTCTATACCTAATTACAAATGTGTGCAAAACGGGAACACACCGTCACCACCCCCTATGACACGCGCTCGAGACTCTAAAGGATGCACTGCGTCTTCTTGTTTGTTTAATGATTAGCACTTATAATCAAGTTACTAATGGATCGTCTTTCTTTAATTACCGTCAATTTGCCGTCTTGGAAGATTGCAAATGTATCAAATTATTTTCCTTTTGCATTTCATATATATATAACAACATAAATAAATAATAAATATGTTTAATAAAATAATATATTTCTGTTTGGACCGAGGTGTTTTTTATGTGAGCCGAGGTGTCTTCAAAATTTGGACCGAGCCGTCGGAGCCGAGATGTCAATGGGCCGAGGAGTCGTTGGGCCGAGGTGTCATACGGGCCGAGCAGTCTGACATTCCATTCAGGTGAAGTGCGATTTACATAATTGAACGAATTAATTACGCTAATTAATCACGACATTTAGTAAATCGTACATTGTTTCATGCTCTCAAAATGCGTAACTATACTTGACAAAGAATAATCAGAGAAATATAATATAGAAGGGATATTTTAACATATGAATTATGATCTATTATATATTTTGAAATGTTTTAGGACTAATTATTGGAAAAAAAAATAAAGGCGTTAGCAATGCATAGTTATGTGGGTTGTTCGAAAGATGGTAACGCAAACTAACTGTAAAGTTATACTAAATTGAAAGAATAATCTTGTTAAGTATCATCAGGAATTGGGTCTAATTCACGTTCATTCTGGTAAAGTCATTCAGTTTGTTAATACCATTAGGGCGGAATGACTTCAATCTGTGCATCCAGAAGGAAGAGTTTTATATACACGCATTTTTTTTATGCCCAAGAAGATTAAGAAGATCAATAATTTTGATGTAAATTTTGAATAATTTAATGTAAGACGTACATTGTGAAATCATAAATAGAATAATTAAATAATTAGAATTTTTTAAAGACAATGTGTGTGTGAAATAGGGGGCATATATAAATATATTCTTATCGCGTCGGGAGAACAATTATTATTTACCTTTTTCTTTATTCTGATAAAAATAAATTCTCGCTCCAAAATTTAGACCGTGAAAAAGCTCTAATATACAGTGTAATTTTTTTTCTTAGAAAATGTCCAGTAAAAATTTATTACGAACTTTTAATGTGTAACTACTATAAATGAAATCTTAATATATCAGATGTACAAAAGGTTACATGTAATTTATAGATGCGATATCATAATTCACGTGTTTAGTTAACATTCAAACTACGATTTAGCAAAACGTAAGGAATAACAAATGTATTTTTAAACTATATAAAGCATGAATTTAAAAGGTATTCAGTTTAAATTTCTTTCGTCAGTTTCACCTGTACACCATTCGATACACTGAAAATCAATTCAACACTCTTTTCTTCTTCTTCTTTTTTGTTTTCTCGTTATAACTTAAGTAAAAAAATGCATTATAACTCGCTGTTAGATTAGTTTGAATTTCTCGGGATAGAGAAAAATCAAGGAAATCAATTATTCATGTACATGTAAATCTAAGTCGAATAAACAGTTTAATTTTAGAAAATTTATGTATGTTCTCCATAATGTCACTGTTTACATGTACAGTGTACATGTCCGCATCGTCGCATAAACAACAATGATCGATCCACAATACCATTACTGTATTGGAATATACAAGGGGCAGGGCTTGCTGGCGGTGAGATTAAAGCGGGGTCCGCTTCACGCATCAGTGTGTAAAGCGGTCCCAGGAAGCGAACACCGGGTTTAGCTCTTGCGGACCCCGAGCGATCCCGGAGCGCACCAAAAGCGCACCCGGAGCGGTCCCAAAATTTCTGAAAGCGAACCCGAAGCGGACCCCGAGCGAACCCGTGAAGCGAACCCGGGGTCCGCTCCGGGTTCGCTCTGGTGTTAGGTTGTGTCCGGTCGTTACTGTACCTGTGTTTACCTGTGTAACACGCCGTATTTTGGATCTTTCACTCTTTATTTCATTACAGAAATTTAAAATGCTGATGGCTTAGTAATAAAAAATCCATGGATCTGGATCCGTCACATTATCTGTTATTAACATTGATATAACTTCAGTGAATATAAAATTTGATTAAATTGACTTTCAAATGCTTCTTGGTATTAACAGTGCTTTTTATCGCAATTGCGTGTCTTATAATGAACAAAGGACGATTCAAACAAAGGAATAAAAGTTTTAACTTTAAAGAAACATTATTATTTAATTATTTTCCTATATTGAGATGGACATTTAAAATAAGAAACTTACATCTATCCAAAAATTATTTTTACATAAAATATTTATTGAAGTAATCTTTAACTAATATCATGTCTATTTAAATGATTAACGATTGAATTGTCATATGACTTCGTGGTCCAGCTGATAGGCAGCTCGCCTCACAATCCAAAGGACCACGGTTCAAACCCAACCAAGACCATACTTTTTTTCAACAAAAATTATTTTGTCTGATACACATTATATAAATATAAAATACATTAAACACCCCTACTAATGTTATTGTGATTTAAATTCAAGACACGTGGTCTAGGTTTACCTATTCAAAGGTTATAGGGTAGAACCGGTTTTATAAATAAAATTGGCAGTAAACAGGAAATTGCTATAGTCTATTTTTCTGAAAACATGTCTTGTGAAAAATGTGTTTCCAGACCTTTCTGAAAGACTTTCATGATTTTCAACAGAAATGGGTGGCTAAAAAAAGGGGGTTAACAATTAATATATCTTACCATAATTTACTACAAAACTTACAGCTCACTAGCGACCGATACGCTGGTAGAAAAATGTGTAAGATCATCTACACTGACAAACCTTTGTTTGCCTTATATGACTATTGCTATTAATGCGCACAGAGGAAATTACCACGAGCAACTGACCAATTGTTGATTGAATACGTTTACGCCAAATATATGTTTACATGTTACTTCGAACACGTAGTTCACGTCAATTTATGATCATGTCAATGGAGTGCAAAATAAAAAAACATGTTCTTATGAACAAAATGCAAACATTAGAAACTGTGAAAGATATCACGGGCGTTTTTAATTTGTTGTTAACTAGAAAAAAATATGTTTAATAAAATTAATAGTAGTTAATGTCAAGTTCAGAACACCACTTCAAGGGTAAGGAAAACGAGCAGCTTCTCGTATGTATTTAAATGGACAAAACATCTTTTACATAACTATACTCGTGATCACGTGTATTGGCCAGGGAATCCACCTGGCAATTGTATTCACCGATAGTACAATAAAGGAATTTATCAAGCGTAAAATTCCTGTAGTATTCGTAGTAACCCATAATGCAATTCTCATTCAGCTGATTTGTCAGTTAAAGTCACATTGGTGCCTCATTTGCTAATCTGACGCTACAAAATATAGTCCCAGTTCCCATGCAAAATATCTGTATAAAAAAATTTTAATTCATGTATGACAGCAGAAAATTGTATCATAGAGAATACTTATAATTTAAATTTGAATGAATTCAACAGAGATCGATTGAAGTACATTTCTTCAGAATTATATTGTAGGGTGGTGAAAACTAAAACGCAACATAACTTTTCTGTTTACCATGTCTCCACGTGCTAGTCACTTCCTAGCCACATTTCCTTGAATAATTTATCCTTTCTCGCTGTAGTCTCGCTTACTCTCGCCAGAACCACTGCCAGAGCTACTCTGAACTCATCGGGTTTTATAAATTGCAGAACACCGAAAAAGAAAGGTTCCGAACACATTAGTAGGGGTGTTAAAACTATTTCGCTTTATTACATATTCCCCCTGTTTATCATTGCTGTCCACAGCAATGCTAATAATGTGTAAACAAAATACATCAATTTTCATGAAGAGACTATCATAATAGAATATCAATATCATGACATACTTTTAAAATTTAAAAAACATTATTTAAAAAATTGTCACAACCAATTTTTAATGTTTATATTGAGACCACGCTTTGCTTAGTGTTTCTCCCAGAGTGGCTCCAAGATTTGCGACAGCCTGACTTAGTTCTTGAAAGTTACTTTCACTTGTCACAGCTGTTTGTGTCCGCACTGTCGAACGAGGTAAGTAATGTGGGTTTGAATGTTTACCTGCGGTACTTCTACTCGAACGTCTTAGCGGTACGGGAGTTTCCGATTGTACGGGAGTTTCTGATTGTACGGGAGTTTCTTGCTCCGAATGATGATGATTATCTCCGTTGTCTTGATGCACATCCTCTGTCCGAAAATCTAACACTGCACGAAAGCTTTCGTCACTCTTTACGAAATCTGAATCAGAAATTGAGGTTTCACCTTCTGAATCACTCGACACTAATTCACCTGTATCCAAGAGTTCTCTACGAGTCACATTTTTCGTTGGACCAGTACCATCTGCTAGTTGTACAGAATATACATTATCCCCTAAATCCTGTATAACTTTATAAGGTGTAGAATTCCAGATATCTTGTATCTTGTTTCTGCCCTGAATTCTGTTCCGCATTAAAACACGGGTACAAATTGAAAGGGGTCTTTCTTTGGCATCTCTGTTGTAGAGGTCTTTTCTACGAAGAGCACTTTCATCCAGATTTTGCTTAGCATTCTCCATCGCTGTTCGAAGCCTTTTTCCGTGTTGCACAACGTATTCATCTGTTGAAGAAATTTTGGTTGTTGGAAGTCCGAGAAGATGATCGATAGGTAAGGTCGGATCTCGTCCAAACATAAGGAAATATGGTGTATACCCAGTAGAAGAATGGGTTGTTGAATTATATACATAAATGAGTTCGGGCAGATGTTCAGGCCATTTCCGTTTTTGTTGAGGTGATAATGTTCTTAAAAGATTGTGCATCGTACGATTATATCGTTCTACTTGGCCGTTCTTGGATGATACGGGGTTGTTCTACTTTTGGAGATGTTATACATTTTACAAAGTTCCTTCACAACTTCACTCTCGAAATTCCTCCCTTGGTCGCTGTGAATCCTTTTTGGAATTCCAAAAAGAACAAACCACTCTTTCACTAACACTTTAGCAACTGTAACTGCTTTTTGATCTCTTGTTGGCACTGCTTGTGTATATTTACTGAATATGTCAGTCATAACTAACACATTTTCTCGCCCATCACTTGCTGGTTCAAGAACTGTAAAATCAATTACTAGAATTTCTTGCGGTTGGTACGCTAAAAGACTCCCTATAGGTGGTCGTACAGTAGGAACTGGTGCTTTGGCTACCATGCAACGCTCACATTTCTTGCAGTATTGTTCTACATCGTTTTGCATTGTTGGCCAATAGCATTTCATTTTTATTAACGACAAAGTTCTTTCTATGCCTTGATGTCCAGCATGATTGTGTAATGACTCTAAGACATGGTCTTTTAAAGACATTGGCAAAACAAGTTGTTGAATAGGACCAGTATCACTCTCAATGTTTCTGTATAGAACGTTGTTTTCGAACAGTAATTTATATCGTTGTTTTAACAGTTTTCTAACATCTTTCTTCTCTTGTTGCAGTTCTTTATTCTTGGGTCGAGTATGACTATTAAGCCAGTGTATGACTCTACTTATTGTTGGGTCTAGTTCTTGTAGTGATGACAATTCAGTGTTTTGATATTCTGGCAAAGTTGATGTTGCTTCCATAGAGTCTACATGCACTGATCGAATATGAGCATCCAATAAATGAGTACCTTCATCTCGAAGATCCATCAGCGGGGTACTTAATATCACATTCTGAAAAACAGACTCAGAATGACACGTGACAGTTCTAACTCTTGGTGTAGGTTTGCGACTCAATGAATCGGCATTCTGATTAACCTTTCCTGATCGGAATTTCACCTCGAAGTTAAACTGTGCCAGTTGACTAGTCCATCGCATCTCCGTTGCCCCTAACTTTGCAGTCTGTAGGTAACTCAGCGGATTATTATCCGTATAAACAATGAACTTTGCTCCAAGCAGGTAATCTCGGAATTTCTCCGTAACTGCCCATTTTAGTGCCAATAGTTCTAACTTCATGGAAACTGTAATTTTCCATATTACGTTCCGCTGGTCTCAATGTTCGTGACGCATATGCTATAACTACATGTCCTTGATCTTGTTCTTGTGAAAGCACTGCACCAAGTCCATCAAAACTCGCATCAGTCTCCAGAATGAAAGTTTTCTTAAAGTCTGGATATCCTAAAATTGGAGAAGATACCAATCTTCTTTTTAGCTCTTGGAATGCAGAATCACATTCTTTACTCCAAAGTTCCAAAAATGGTTTGTTCGGACACTTCTTCTTTTTCTTCTTGTTATCTGTGGTTATACTATGTAAAGGTTTAGCAATTTTGGAAAAATCCTTCACGAATCGTCTATAATAACCAGCTAAACCTAGGAACGATCGTAATTCTTTTTCTGATTTTGGTGTTGGCCATGATTCTATTGCTTCGGTCTTTTCAGGATCTGTAGAAACTCCTTCAGCTGAAACGATATGTCCTAAGTATTTTACAGATGTACTGAAGAAATTACATTTTGATGGTTTCATTTTAAGACCATGACTTTTCAACTTAGAGAAAACAATGTCTAGTCGTTGTATGTGTTCTTCGATGGTTTTCGAGAATACTAATATATCATCCAGGTAAAGAAGTAAGATGTCAAAGTTTTCATCTGTGAAACAAGCCTCCATCAGTCTTTGAAATGTAGCGGGGCTGTTACATAGACCGAAAGGCATCCTGAGATATTCGTACAAGCCTCCGGTTCCAACTCTAAAAGCTGTTTTCTGAATTGAGTTCTCATCCATGGCAACTTGATGGTATCCTTGGGCTAGATCTATTGAACTGAAATATTTCGCTCCATGTAAGACGTCTAATGTTTCCTCTATTCTGGGTAACGGATACGCATCTTTTATTTATAGTTTTTTTTATTCAGTTCGCGATAATCTACACATAAACGAAGACTTTTGTCCTTTTTTCTCACTATCACGACGGCGGACGCAAATGGACTATTGCTCTTTCTTATTATCCCTTGATTTAACAATTTGCGTATGTGTTGTTTTACTTCATCGATCTGATGTGGTGGAATTCTACGATGTGGCACTCTAACAGGGATATCATCTGTTAACTTGATGTTATGCGTAATCAAATCTGTATAGCCAAGATCATCGTCATCTTTTGTAAACGCGTCTAAATGTTTTTGAATGAGTAGGTGAAATTGCTCCTTCTGCCCGTCGGTTAACTGTGCATCTCCAAGTTTCAATTTTAGATCGATATTCTCAAATTTACTATTAGTCGGTTTGATAAATTCTGCACTAACTTTTCGGACGTAAACTTTCTTGTCAAGAATTTCTAGATCGTATTTATCGTCTGTAGATTTGATGACATCAACTTTGTGTAAAGTACCAATTCGACTTTTGGGTTTTAACCAGACATCCTCATCACCAATATTTATTATTCTGACAGGAATTTTTCCTTTTTCAACAGTTCCTAAGGTGTCAATTACCATGATGTTCCGTGGGAGCGATCCTGTATTTCCATGAATTGCTTGGACTGTGGCTGTATATTCTTCACCTTTTTTATTTTGACGAGTTGAACCAATAACTACTTTCATTGAATTTGCGGGAATGTTGATTTCTTGTCGACCAGCAACTTTTACAAAACTTATCCGTTCACTGTGTTCAGCCATATCTAGGGCGGTGTTGACGTACTTCCAAGAATCTTGTTGTTCTTCATTGTCAAATTTGATTTTGTCTTTCTCTTCGTTGACGTAACTCTGAATATGCTTTAGAATATTACATCCCAAAATGCCATTTATAGGGTTGGAAACAGAACTGTCTTTTAAAACCAAAAATCCTACACCGGTAAATTTACAACCATATACATCAATGTCAGTTTCTATGTATCCTAAATAGGCAATTTGTGTATCATTTGCAGCAACGAGTTTTAGAAATTTTCTGGTGTCATTCATTTCTAAAGATGCTAAGTGTTCATTATAAAATGATTCTGAAATAGTTGAAACCTCTGAACCGGTATCCAAAAGACAATGGAAGTTATGCCCATTGAGTTTAATTGTTGTTGTTGGACATTTTGATAATGCATTGAAAACTTGTTTTTGAAGTTTCATTTTGGAGTCTATTTCCTGTCCCTCATCAGTTAGACTCCTCACCGTGAGGGTCAAGCTTTTGGGTTGTTTTCTGGCTTCCTTTCTTTGAACGATGAACATTTGTTGCTCTTATGTCCTTCTTTTCCGCATCTGAAGCAAATGATCTGACCGGTTTGCTGTATCATTCCTCTTCCTGTTCCTCTATAGCTACCACGGCCTCTTCCTCGAAACGTTCCTCTGTAGTATCCACGAGTCTGGTAGGTTGAACGTGATTGTTCGTATTTTGGCTGCTTTGTAAGATTAGTCAATAGTTCTATCTGTTGTTGTTGTTTTTCTAATATTTCTTGTTGTTTTCGTAAAATTTCCATAAGATCGTCATTTGAGGGTTTCTTTTCAGTTGATGTTCTGTTAATTTTTGCAGTTCCAGACGTAGCATTTTGATCGTCAACCCACATCAATATTCTGCCACGAAATTCAATAAATGGAAGTGTTGGATTTTCCAGTGAGAACTTTCTTAACTCTCTCTTAATTTGTTGATCTTGAACACCATCTATGAATTTGTCTGTTATAATTTTATCCATTGTGTTGTAATCACTCCCTTCTTTCTTTGCAATTGTGTGCAACATTTTCATCAGTGCTAAAGAATATGATTCTAAACTTTCATTTTCGTGTTGAACTCATTCGTAAAATTTGTTACGTAATTGTGCTACAGTGTCTTGTATTTTGTATGTATCTTCTATGATTTTGAGAATGTCTTCTGGTGTTTTCTTACTCTCGGGGGGACGTAACCGGACTTCTGTTTTCGCAGCGCCTGTAAGATGATCCAAAATGAAATCAATTTTGCCATCTTTTGTTGGAATACTACTGAGATGTTCCTTTACATCAGATAACCAGTCGTCTACATCAGGATCGCTTTCTTTAACTGGTCGTCCTGCTAAAGATGGTATTTTTCTCTCAGACTTGATGTAAACCGGGGACTGTGGTTATGCTGTGATCGTCTGTTTAATCTCCAGCTCCTTCAACTTTTTCCTCAGCTGCTCCAACTCCTCTTTCACTTCTGACATTGTCTCTGTTATTTTTCAATGACAGCGAAAAGCGAGGTTAACCTCACTAATCTCTATTCAATGAAAATATACACACTGTCGATGAACAATGCAAATAACTAACAGCGAGGATTCCTCACTTATCAGAGATTTGCATATGTAACCACTGAGTCTAATCACTATAACAGTCACTTGCGACCAAAGATGTTAATCGTTTCAACCACAGTTTTGCTAATGACGAACAAGGGTGTACACCATCATTGTATAATTCGTAGTTGTAGTAATAAACACTCTTCTTGCCTTTTTTTACCTTTCTATTTCTCAAGAGATCAAGAGAGAACTTCGGAGAGCGAGTACTTCTATTCAAGTCACGAATAATTTGATTCAGTTTTTCAACTTGTGTTTCTAACAGTCTATCGTCCTCTTTAAACTTCGACGGATCTTCATGTTTCTTTGATTTGTTCCACTTTGAAACGGAATAAACTGGAACTTCCAGAATAGTAACTTTAACGTCTTTGTATTTCTTTATAAAATTGATCACTTCTTCAAATTTCCTCTTGAGGTATTCGACACTGTCATTATTCAGATTTCTAATTGATGTATATTTCCCAGACTTAATTGTCAAATCGCAAGTACCTAACCATATATACAGATGAATTTTGCCGTAATATCTTATTTTGGAATTAACATTTCAACCAGTCAATTGCATCACTTGTTCTTTCTCCGCTTTTACACCAAA